AAGCTGCTGCTAGGAGTGCCTTCATCTGCACTTAATTCGGAAACTGTCTTCACTCCTGGACTTTGCTGACCTGGCTTCTCTGGTGTGCACTTCTGTAACCTATTGATTGGATTACTGCAACATGCTGTATGTGGGGCTGCTTGGAAAGCAACCCAGAAACCTCAATTAGTACAGAATGCAGCCACTTGCCTACTTGTAGGGCTTAGCTGTTATGCACATGTAATACCAGTACTGAAGGATTATTGCCCATATATTGCAGAGCAGACTGCCAGAGGCAGTTTGGAAAGGGCCCACTTTTGATAGCCTGTCATGTTTCAACAGTGAAAAACACAGGATGTTATTGATTAGGGTTCTTAAGCACTGTTACCAAAATAAAATACGTATTTGTTTTATGAAATGTCCATTTAAATCTTTTATTTCTGCATCTAACTGCTCTATAGAAACAGCTGAAAATTTTGTGAATCAAAAACCTCTGCAAACTTTGCAGGCTACACAGATCTGATGTCACATGTTTTACAGGAATGGCAAGAGAACCAAATTTTATTTCCAAGAGAAGAGTGCCGTATTACAGCACACAGATTTCAAAGTCCTTTGAGTGGAACAGAGATAATGATTGCGAGACAGATAAATCACCAGAATGTGAAGTTCCTCCACCAGTGGAGTTGCATGCAAATCACAACAAGGATGATATAAATCAGGAAAACATTAAGACACCTGATGCTCCCAGGCTTCCTGAAAAAATGCATCCTAGCTCTGCAGGTTCTAGACTGGAACTAAATGTAGCTCTTTCAAAAAACAAGAAGAAATTATCACCCAAAACTCCAGTGCATGAAAATGGAACATTAGCACCTACAGAAAAGGACTTAGGAAAAATAGACAATGGGGTAGGGAATTACTAAAATTGTTTTATTTTGGTAATTTAAAGTACAGCCTATATATAAGTATTGTGGCTAAATTGTGTCTGATTTTTTAAAAAAATTCTTTACATTGTAACTCAAGCCCTGTTTGCATGTGAGAGTGAACACATGTGCATCTTTTATGTACATCTGTTTGTAAGAAGGAGCCACTGACATGTTCATTGTGCAGCTGAAACCAGCGACCAGTACCTGAATAAATGTGGAGTTTGTATCACATGTTCAGTTGTACATACATTGAATGTAACATGAGAATTACTCAACAGATGTACACAGATTGTATGTGTGTTCACTGTAAGTTGTGAAGAAGGTTTCCATGTCAGCCTTTGTTAGATATATACTATGAGATCTAATGACAGAGTTGGTGAAATCTCTGGCAGGGAATCGGTGGAGCTCTGCTAACATGACAGCGAGGTAGTGTAGACAGAAGGACCTTTGGCTGCTATTGACTGAGCAGCTCTGACATTAGTAAGGGGGAAGGCTAAAGAAGGAGGTAGATGAGTAGTAAAGGAGGAGGCTGGTGCATCTACAGATTGAGCGTTGGGAGCAGGATAGTAATTGAGAGAGAATGTGAAAGGAGTCTGAGTGAGGAAATATAGCTGGGAGAAAGAAGGTGGTCCAGGTAAAGTAAGTTAAAGCTGATATACTGATGTGAATTAACTAATCAAATCTTTGATAAGAGATTTGTAGTTTGATGTTTATGCTGAGCAAGTATGACAAGCCCCTCCTCTTGTCTAAAAAAGAGGTAGATTTTCTACTGAAATTAGCAAGAGCAGGATTTAATTTAACATTAGGCTCCAGAGGTGCTTGTAGAATGGGATGACATACTTTGCCTTTATTCTCTTGATCCAAGTTAAGAATACTCATGCTAATAGTAAAACTTCAAATGTTGGTGTGATGGACTGCAAAGGAAAGCAGGCTTTTTAAAATGCTGCTTGTATTAGAGAGCCAGAGAGTTCAAGAATTAATCTTAGAGGTTACGTGATTGGCTGCTCTGCTCGCTCTCTGATTGGCCAGCATCAGCTGAGAGAGAAAATAAAACAGCTGATCTGGAGGGAAAAGTGATCTTTTGCAATTTGGTCTTTTGAAAATTGGTCTTTTGGCTGTTTAGTCTTTCTAAAGTCTGGATCAGTAGCTGGAGGGTGGCTTCTGAGGGAAGAGACATTTGGGAGTCAGTGTTTTCTGGCAGGCAATAGTCAGAAAAGTACTTCTACAAAGAGAAGAAGAGAAACTCCATATTCTTAGATATATTAACATTGCTCTGAGGGAAAATTTTAGATTCTCAGGAAAGCTTCAGAATAGCTTTATACAGACAAACGATACTGGAGGGATTGGGCAGAAGGTCTGAGTAGTTAGAGTGAACTCCCATTCAACTCAAATCGAAAAAGGACTTATTGCTTCTTAGGGACAAGGAGAATAATTTCCTGCCAGTGAAAGGGGTTGGGAAGAGAACCCTGTTCTGTGATAAAGGAGAGAAGCTTAGACACCTCAAGAGTTAATGAAAATCTGTATTATCTAAAGGAAAACCTGTAATATCTGAAGGAAGAAATCTAGAAACATCTCTGTGTTGTGCTGAAATATACTAAACAAAGTACCTCTCAAAGAAAGAAATAGAAAGCCTTGAAACAAAACTACAAATACACTCTCATGAATGCTCTAAGAATTCAGCTTTGTATATATTAGGAAGTTTTTTACTTCAGCAATCTCAAAACCTTGACTATTCCTATTATACATATATTCCCCTGCCTGTTTAATAAAATCTTTATTCTGTTTTTGAAAGTTAATTTGCCTCAAGCGCCATTTCATAAGGGTTTACGAAAACTGGACAGCTCCTGTATTTTCAGTAGAGTTCCTGAGCTGAGAAAAAGCCTAAACTAAATATCTAAACAAAGGGTGGAATAGTCAAGTCTTTCATGACAAAGAATATATACATGCTACTGTAGGGCAACTCAGTCACTGAGGGGAACTGAAAATTTGGCGTGAAAAATCTGCCAGACAGTTGGAGAGATACAGGGATTCGTCATGGTTAATTAAAACAATAAACAGACCTCTTCCTGAATTAATTGTTTCTTTTGACAGTTTAAGAGAGTCTTGCAGAGGAAAGCAGGCATGAATATTTTGCGGTCAAGTAGCTTCCCCAGAACTTCTGAGTATCAAAGACAGTTTGGTTGGAAGACCCCTCAGAAAGTCTCTCCAGTACTTTCAGCAGATCAGGTAACTGTTAAGGGCTTGTCTTTTTTTTTTTAAAACAGCACTTAGCTGTCAGACACTTTATAAATAATGAATATTGTTTTTTCAGCAGTACTGTTAATTTAGATTTTAAAATAACCACAGTAACATATTTTGTAAACCCAAGGTCATTCACAGTGCAAGTAAATCCATTCCTCCACACAAGTCTCCTGCAATTATTCCTGAAACTGAATATGAAAGATGTTTTAAAGCTTCTCCCCCTATGAAAGAACTCAGAAAAACACCTCATTTGGAAGAGAAAGAACGTCCTGTAGAATCATCTCCTGGAGAAAAGGTATTATATCTGCAGAACTAAATTCTGAAGATCAAGTTGCTTTTTCACTTAAGTTTTACATATGGAATGTCAGATCTTTCAGGATCACCTCAGGTTGTCAGCCTGGTGAGTGAATGGTTAGCAGCCATTCTACAGAATGACCTTTATTAATCGTTCACATTTTATGACTTTCCCTCTCTCTTTTAAAATTTTTTTGCTAGGTGCATTCTCAGTGTTACAATATAGGGTACACTGGGCACAGTTAATCTTGTAGCTTGTTTTAACTAAAATGGTTAGTAGAGCAAAATTCATAAAACAAATAATAAATATCCCCAGCATCAATCGTGGTCTAAAATTAGAAAGAAATGACCTGTATTTGTTCTGAGATTAGTGTGTAATCTCTCTGCCTTTACAGTAATTTATCATAGTGAAGGGCAAGACTGATTATGAGTAATAGGAATCTGTTACCATTTTAGGTTCAATCATTTGACATTCAGGTCTGTAGAGCAGACACAGGGACTTGCTGTTTATCTCCTGGTCAGGCTAAAATGTTGATTCATTTGAGTAATTAACATTGTTAATAATTTGTTGCAGAGCAGTCAGATGACAAGTCTTGGTTACAGTGCTTCCACATGTAAACTGGCATCACATGAACAAATGTCTAATATTTGGGTCAAACTGTTAAGAATCTTCCACCTGGACGAATAAATAGATTTAGTTTAAACATTAGAGCATGGGGGGCACTCTGCCTCAAAGTGTTTACTGTATCCAGACATTCATATGAAGTTACCAAGGACTGTTTTAAACTTTAGAGTTCCGGCTTGAAGACCACTGGAAGATGCTTCACTGTCAGCGCTCTGCTTGGCAGGTGATAACAAGAGAGAGGAAGTTATCCCTTGGCCTTGCGGAGTATGCATGTTAGTACACTGCCCAGGAATGCTGGTTTGCAGATACCACATACCTATTGGCTGGTGTATGATAAAAGTTCCCTTTATTTGTTACTGCCTGCCAAGTAAAGCATTAATGTGGGTAAAGTACAAATGGCTTTCAGATGCAAGTCAAATATTGAAATTGATCCTAGCAGTTCCATAAGAAGAGTCCTATGTGTGTTCCCCCATCAGAATTATTTTTCAGTCAATAATAATTTTAGTGACTCTGGTACACTCCTGTGATACACAGGGTCAAGCAGAGTCCAAGGTTTATTCCTTTTGGTTGCATTTCTTCTGTCTCTTTGCAATAAAAAAAGAAATAGGCCAGTTGAAAAAACATAGTATTATTTGTGAAGTCTTCCAAATGCAGCTGCATTGCCAGCCATTGTTTTTCATTTAATTTTGAGTACTTACACTAATGTACAATTTTAATATTGTTTTGCTGTTTTAAAATGCAGATAGTAGTTATCTTTTGAAGGCCAGGTTATTTAATAGGCTAGGTTCTCACCATGTTTCCACTGGTGTATATTTAGACAAGAAAGGAGACAGCATTTATTTTCTGGGGGTGGAAGAGGAGAACAGAAGGGAAGAATGGACAGTGTTTTGTCCCATCCTGAGCTACATTTTATTTGCAGTATTCCATTACATTTTGCTTTGTTTATCCTACCCTTCCTCCAAGGAGTTCACGGCAGTATACATGGTTCCTTTCCCCATTTTATTCTGGCAACAACTGCATGAGAGAGATTAAATTTAGAGAGTAGCTGGCCAAAGTGACCCACACTGAGCTTTGTGGCCGGTGGGGATTTTAATCTGGATCTCACTGGTTGTAGCCCAACATTCTGACTACTATACCATGCTGTATATAGATAACTAGTAAATTTTTTCAGAGGAGGGTAATGTCATTAGAAGTGCAGTGAGCTAATTATATTATTACACTGCAGTAGAAGTAAACTGTAGTATATCTTTGTAAGGATACAATTTTAAGTAGAAAATACATACTACTGAACTTGGAATATGTTTTAGAAATGTTTGTACTACAGATAATTGTCCAGTAGATGATTTTAGAGTCTTTAAATAAAAAAGCTACTAATAAGATGTTTCTGCTATTATTTTTGCTTTAGAAAGATAAAAAGGACTCACTTTCAAAGATCCCAGAAGATCCACCAAAAGACAGCAAATCAGAAACAGAACAAAAACAACATAAACAAAAACATAAGCCACACTACTTACATAGAAGTTTTAGGTATGTGTAATGCATTAGGACCACCTAAATTGTATTTTGTTACATAATATTAAAGACTCTGGCTGCATTCAGACATCACAGTAAACCACTGTTTATAAACCATTATAACTCTGGTTTAGTGTGCTGTCTGAATGCAGGCTGCCTAACAAACGATGGGTTTTTAGTAAAAGCTAAACTAGGATTCTAAATCATGTGCCATTTGCTTATTCTCAGGCTAAGTGCTGTGATCCTCAATTTGATAAAATGGTACGGATGGTTATTGTAATATGGATGGAGGCATCTCATCCAGTATGGTTTGGCCATAGTTCAGTACGCACTGCATTCCCAATAATGTCCATACAGATTAACCAAGACTGTAATAGATAAAATCTATGCAGTAAATTAGCCTGTTATCCAACTAGTTAAACAGGAGGTTACAAACAAACCATCTTGATGTAGTTGATATGTTACCTTGGGGTATCTTTATTAGAAAGTCCCACCATATCCTGCCAAGTGCTAGTGCAGACACATGTCTACTGCTAATTTTTGAGCCCCAGGGATGGAAAGACTAAGGCCAGAGATACCACTTCTTTTGAGCTTGCTTGCCCTTCCATCGTAACTCCATCATATAACTGATAAATCTTGGGGTTTCCTCCAAACCTTTCAACAATTGATTACAGTTAATTTTGTAGCACATGTTTATGGGATGAAATAGTCCTCCTGGTTACAAGATATTAATTTTAAAATACTAAATTTGTAAATCCAGTTTAATAAAGAGGGCTTGTCAAAAAATCAAAATTTCTGAGTATGTTCACTGCCTTCCCTCCAAAGCAAATAACACATAGTACTTATATAGAACTGTTGAGTGTTCAGTGCCTTTCATACATATTATCCTGCAATCCTTACAATAATACTATAAGGAAAGGCAATGTTGTCTGAGGCTGAGAATATGTGGCTTGTCTAAGGTCATTTAATGAATTCATGGCAGAGATGCGGTTCAACCAGGAATTTCATGATTTGTATCTCATTCTTTTAGCTATCAGGCTGCACCAGTTGATGAGTCTTAATTCAAGACTATTCATGGAGCTGTACAGCAATATTAATTTCACCCAGCCCCTAGCAGGGAGAAATTGGAAATGTATTTAAATCATTTTTAGAAACTAACCAAAAGGTAATTTATGGGTTCTTTAGGTACTTTCCTGCACAGGCTTACCTGAAATAAGAGGAAGGTGTGCAGAAGTGCAGAGGTTGTTCCTAGTGGATTATGCATTTTGTTCTGTGTTCCATGGATTAATTTGAGCCCGGAATCATTGAGAGTTTATTCTTAGAATCTGTTTTGGTTGCCAGCTGTAGAGTATGTGGAACAATGTCCACAAAGACTAGAATTCCTCTACTACTCTTCATCCATTGAATGAAGCCAGCCTTCCCCAATCTGAAATTTAGCTGGAAGGGCTTCCAAGGGTAGCTGCTGTGGCTTCTAAGTGGGCTTGAGACCTATTTTTTAGTTTTAGAAAATTGCTATCCAGGGGGTCATATTCTCTCTCATTAGTACCAATGTTTGTTGCCTGCTGATTTGGCTGATTGTATATCCTGCATTATTATGTTATTTAGGGCAAGAAATAATTAAAGACAAAATCCTTAGTGGTTTCCTAGATAATTATGAACTAATATTTGTCTCCCTCCACTCCCAACTTCCTTTTCCTAGGAAGATGAACACCGAATACAGATCAAAATTTTTGTCTCCTGCTCAGTACATATACAAAGATGGAGCTTGGTTGCGTATCAGGAGAAATGTACCTGCTCAAGTGAGTATGTATTTACACCTTTCCAGTAAGAGTAGTTTGAAGGTACTACTGTACCTGTAGTTTCTGAGAGAGCTGAGCCTTGTGAAGGTAGTTGAGGTACAGTCTCTCTTGCTGTAAACAAAAAATGAGGTCATAGAATGCTGACGTGTGAAGCAACACAACTTTATTTAACATTGTGCAGCATTTACTGACTTACCGTGGCTTCTGCTATATATTTCAGTTCTCCATTGACTTTCCCCCAACTGCTTTCCTCCATGCACTGCATTATGAAACACCTTGTTATTTGCTATCATTACATCTCCCCCACTTCTACTGCTTTCTGTTTCTGATAGGGTTTTCTTACCATGCTGCCTCTTCAGGCAACCACAGGCATTTCAGAACTAAATCCTTCCCTGATCTCTTGCTGCCTCTTTGTGCTGCAACAATTTCATTTGTTTCATCTTAAGATTCTTGCTTGTCTGAATTTGATAGTGGTGGTGGTTGTTTCATCCATCATTGACTTTTAGGGATCTTCTGTTTCTCTTCCATCCTGTGTTTGAACCAAATATGGTTTTGGAATCATATGAGTTCAGTCTCTTTTTTCAGGCTTGTACACAACTGTCCTGTCTTCATTAACATTCCTTTATTTACCTTTTCCATAATTTCTATAAACTATTTCCTGTAGGGGAGACAGAGTTATCGCTTGTTTCATTGTCTCTGTATTGACCTGAGTTTGCCAGATCTGGGTCAAAAAGAAAGAAACCATGAACTGAATACCTGTATTTTTTTTCTTCATCACTGAACAAATAAAACTGAAACACAAAAAAGCACTGGATGGCTTTCTTAATGTTTAAAAACATTTTCCCCTAAATACTTTGCACAAGGATAGGAGCCCTTCATCTCCAAGACTTTTACATTCAATTTATACCCTGCCCTCCCTGCCAAGGCAGGCTCAGGGCAGCTTACATAAACATGCATATATAAATACAATTAAAATCATTCATAAAACACCATAACAATTATCTTTGTAGTAGTTTAGTTTATTGTAATTAGGCATTGGCCGTTACAAGATTACAAAATACAAACTGTGAACAAACTATAGGTTAATATCAGAATATACAAAAGTACCATAAATCAATAACAAAATATGACTAATTTAATATAGTAGCCTGAATATTGCCCCTTCCTGTTGCCACCTTGGAACATATATTCTTTGCAGCAAGGGCAAATAATGAAACTTTATAAGAGACATATGCATCAGAGTCAGATAACAAAAATGAAATTTTATCCTCAACTGGGTAAGCACTAAGACCAGATAAAATACCTGCTAAAAATTTAGCCCTCGGACTAAAATATAGTGGGCAAAAGAGGATATAGTGAGGTAAATCCTCAAGTTCATGGGTGCCACAAATACATAAACGATGGGCCAATGGAGTTTAATTAAAGCAGCCTTCCAAGATTGCCGTTGGCATTGATTGAAACTGTAGAGAGGTAAAGAACTCTCTTAAGTACGTTGGGATTTGTCAATTGATGTTCCTAAAAGATCATTGGGAATAGAGTATCTTGAACGTATGTTGTTAAAAAAGTCAAGGTGCTGCAAATCTTTAACAGCAGGTTAAAAGATTGGTGACTGAGGGAATTAAGTTGTGAATTTTCCATTCTTTTCCAGTATCTGATAATTGTAAGGTGTGCCCGAGCCTTAAGAGAAGGAATACCAGTTTCAGCTCTCATCAGAGCAGCTGGGGACCCCTTGGGGAGTGCTAAAATGTGCTTTATTAGTTGCTCTAAAGTGCTGGAACAAAATTCAAGTAAAGTGCGAGAGCAGAAATTAAAAAAATTAGACAGTATTAAACAGTATTACTTAGGCAACAGTCATGATGGTATTCTTACACCAGCTCAATTGATCCGTTTATTTTTGTGGTGGGCACTAGGGATGTGCAAAAAAAAATAAATTCAGCCCATTGGGATTCGGCTGAATCGGGAAGAATCAATTTCGGCTGGCAGTAAGACTCCCGCATGTCAGTTTTGTCAGTACGCAGAGAATAGTTACAAGAATGGGCACAGTAATAAGACCAATGAAAAAAGGAAAAAGAGCTGTGACAATTTAGCACTTGGTAATATATTCATAAATTATAATATACAATAACAGAAAATAAGTAATATATATAGTGAATGTAGACGGTGATCTCTGGAATGGTGTGCCGTTTCGACAATGATCTTCTGAACAAGGGTGTGTACCTTATCAAATATAACAATACAAGTCTCATTTAAAATAAATATAACAGTGTGCAAATATATAATATGAATAAGTATAAAAATAGTATGAAACCTTACAAAAACTGTCTTTCAACAATACATTTCTCTTGGTGACGTATTGGAAATATACTGTTGATTCTAAAAAGTACAATGATAGCTGTTACAATACATTTTCATTGTTATTCAATAATAATTACATTGCTCCACATACATAAATATTAATTTAAATAATTGTAAAAACACTCACCGCTTCATCATGAGGCTATGCTTACAGCTATGTTCTTCAATGGGCTATAATTGCTGAATGCCCATTCCGGAGACCACCGTCTACATTCACTCTATATATATTACTTATTTTCTGTTATTGTATATTATGATTTATGAATATATTACCAAGCGCTAAATTGTCACAGTTCTTTTTCCTTTTTTCATTAGTTTCGTCAGTACGGCAATGGCGAAAACATAGGATATATTCTGGGGGCTGGAGGGGAGGCAGCTTGAGGGAGAGACTCCAAACTCGTAGGGTAGCTGCTGGAGCCTTTCCCCAAGATACCAACCAAGTTTCAAGAGCATTGGACCAGGGGGTCCAATTCTATGGGTCCTCAAACAGGTTGCCCCATCCCCTCCATTGTTCTCTATGGTGGGGAAAAAAGTTACTTTTTGATAGGAGCAACCTGTTTGGGGGCCCGTAGAATTGGACCCCCTGGTCCAATGTTCTTCAAACATGGTTGGTATCTTGGGGAAAGGCTCCAGCAGCTACCCTACAAGTTTGGAGACTCTCCCTCAAACCCCCTCCCCTCCAGCCCCCAGAATATACCCTATGTTTTCGCCATTGACTTCAATGGCCCATAGGATATAATGGGGTCGAATTACCGCCAAAATTCGGCGGCAAGCCAGTTCAGATCAGAGAATCTGAATTGGCCTGCAGCAGCCCGAAAGGGGTCCAAATGGGCCATTTTCGGGGGTGCATTCGGTTCGGACGAACCGAATGCACATCCCTAGTGGGCACAGGCTGTAAGTTGTAGGTTGTAGGCCAGGGCACGTGGTCACTTCTCAGGTGTTTGATGTGGCTCCTAATCAAAGGCCTGGTGGAAGAGCTCCATCTTGCAGGCCCTGCGGAACTGTACTGTTTTATAACGTTTTCTCCTTTAGTACTAGCAGTAATCCACATTAAATTAGGCTTCTGAAAAATTAATATGTGACAATACATAATCACAATAGGAGTTTCAGCTGCCTGCATTCTGCTGAGATAAATGCTGCTTCCTCTTTCAATGAGTAAAGTTAGGGGTTCTTTGTTGTTTTTCCATAACTCACCACAGGTATTTTCAGTATCCATTTCCTCTCATTACGTGTCTAGTTGCTCTTCTGACCATAACTCTCTTCCACTAGAATTGTCTTGCCTCCCATTATTGATTTTGTCTTGCAAAAGAATAGCTAGCTGCACAATAGTGAACCATCTTAAAATGGCAGATTTCCACAGCTTTTCTAAAATAAAGAGCACGGTGTGCAGTGGTTGTGTTTCACTCTGTTCTATTTATGTCCAATTGGTTGTATGCTTTTTTATGCCATTCTCTTTGACAGGGTGACTTATCAGAGCAGGATTTTCTCATCATGTCTTTAGGGATTTACAGAATTAAATAGGAAGTCTCATGCACATTTTTAGATGCAAAAAAGAGACCATTTATTTGGACCTCTGTCATGGGGATAACTAACTTTGGTCCCATCCACGTATATGGGATTCAGGTTGAGTGGTAATTGGCGCTTCTTGAACATAATTCCATACTGTGCTGACTTTACCATGAAAACAGGGTTCCTATGAGGTCTGCACTGAGTAGTCTTAAGTCCAGTGACCCCTTGAGACATTTTGAATCTGTGGTAACAAACTGAAGAATTTGTTTTGGCTTGTTTGCAGTTCCTTTATCTAGCTATCAATACTTCTGTGTAGTTTTGATGCATTTGAGTGCATTGAAAATAGGTGTTGCCTTGTTTTCTTTAAAGGCATTCATGCTCAAATATTCCGTGATGTTGGAGAGAATGAGCTCCTACTTGCATTGTATTACATGTACCACACTGGATCTCTAGCAAGCACACTGGAGATAATAGGAGATAGGAAATGTATGTCCTCTTATATTACAGAGAGTGCCCTGAATTCTCTGGTAATTGGAATTCAAACCGCATGCTTTTTCAATGCATAGTACCCTTCACATTCATCTTGGCTACCTCCTAAAGCATCTTATTCCATGAAATATACAGAGAGAATATATTTTAGCATCCTGTTTTAAACTTTGAGTAGTTGAATGTGTATATGTACTAAGTTTACATCATTTTAGCAGTATGGAAAGGTAATAGAATGTGGTCTGTCATCGTGCCTTACTACTTCAGATAATTGTTACAATAATTAGGCTTTGGATGCTTTGGTACTGCAGAGGCTGGTTCAGAAATTATGACAGACGAGTCAAACTTGGGGACTAGCTGTGCATCAGATGTTCTTGTATGATTCTAATCCTGCAATTGTCAGAGCAGTTGAGCAAACTGATAGATTAAGTACATTAGGATGCCATATTTCAGAAATGACTTTTTAAAAATCTGAACTCTAGGAGGCAGGATAACATTGTGATCCCCGTAGAAGGAAATAGACTGTTTCATGTTTAGATTGAGACAAATGTATACATGTCCTATTATTTAAACAAATATTATTTCTATATTCCTCTCCTTAGGGTTCTCGAAACACCCTAAATTACATGTGGTATATGGAGGTTGGTTGCATCTAAGTTCTTCCTTCTTGGAGCAATTGTAGAATTAATGAGCCTTCAAAAAGAAATAAAATCTACTACTAAGCAGATACATAGTCGCTGTGCTTTTTGTGCTTGTTGAATAATGTTATTGTTCACTGTGCTTTGGCTGGACTGCTTAGAACAGTAGGAATGTAACCTCATTCATTGCCTCTTGTTCACAACATTGCTCCTTATGGCCTCACTGCTGTGAATGGTTATGCGTTGTCTGTATTATGATGTTCTGTGCTGTTAATTATAGCTTTAACTGACTAATAGTTTCCAAAAACATTACAATTATTTGTTTTAAAACTTTGTGAAATGTTTACACTCAGGTAAAAGAACTGCGAGAGAAAGCAGAGGCTTACAGGCAAAGAATACAGGGAACCCACTTCTCCAGAGACCATTTAAACCAGCTTCTGTCTGATAACAACAGGCTTTGGGATTTGTCTTCAGAGTCGAGTTCAGAAGAAGCCATTAGCAACAACATCAGAGCTCTAGATCTGGCAGGGTAAGGAAGTATTTGTGGGTGCAGAAAAGTTTAATTGTAGCTTTAACTGACTAGTCTAGTCTAGTAGGGTAACATTTATTCTGTTAGACTCTGGTATGTATAAGGTTAACACTTCTACAGTACAGTCCTATGCAGAATTATTCCATTGTGCTGCTAGCCTTTCAGTCATGTGGCCTGGAGTAACTGGCTTGACTCTAGCTGGAATTGCTTGAGGAGAAGTTTGCAAAACATGCTGGTGTCAGCATAAAATTTTTCATCTTCTTAATGATCGTGATAGAAGAAGGAGAAGCATAATTGGGGAAGTTTGTGTTGATTTCTGTATATGTTTGTGTTCTGAAATATTTGCTGAAGAATATGTATGTTCAAAAAGGGAAACCAAGACCAGTGAGGTTTGTCACCATTTATTTTAATTGGATTTAAGTGCACAGCCCTCTCAGGGTTGTGCATGGGCAGGTTCTAATCCAGGTGGCTGTCCATTTGTTCCAACTTTTGCATACCTTTTCTGTTTGCATTTGGAGCCCACTTCATGACTTCATCTGATTTCTGTGCATGATTTATCCCAGCAATGACAAGATATGGACATTGTGTTAATGTGGCTTTAATACTTCCGGATCTAATGTTGTGCAATTGTTTTTATGGTATCTCAGTTGTTCATATGCACAGAGTTTGTTGAGTGATCATTGATGTAGTTTTCCACAGTTTCTGTTTTTTTAAAAATGTTAATGCAGCACTATCCAAGCAGATTGCCAGATTTTCAAGTGAAGCTGAACTGTTTGTACTTCTTAAGTGTATACTAGAGTACATAACCTGGCACACTTGCCCCTAAATATAGCCTTAAACTGAACTCTTTTGTGGAAACAAGTTTTTTAGGGAGTTCTGCTAGGCTTTCTGTATAAAACATGTTGCACGTGGGAAGTGAGAAAAAAAACATTCAGCAGTATCCCTGTAGGGATTGTTAAATGTCTTAGAATGTGTGATAGACGCTGTGGGTTCACTAGCATGCAAGAACCACCTGCTGCTCTTCCAGGTCTCTGGGCAAGATTTTAACCCTGCAGTTCTGTGCACTGGTTCAAGAGCTCAGACTAAAGAAAGTTACTTGAGATGTTTCCAGTCAGATTTTTTTTCTTTGACTCTTTGTCATTCTACAAAAGGTCTTTGAAAATGTCCTCGGTTCCAAAAGCAGTTTGCCATAAGACCTGTTGTTTGAGAGACACAAACCCAAAGTCTCCCTGGGTTGGATACTGGCTGTCAGCAATCATTTAATAGGTTAAAAATTTGTTTTAGTCTGGAAACCAGTTACTGTTATGCAAGTTTTGTTGAAGTATTAATTATATCAATTTCGGTATGCTGTGCATACACAGAACAAAACATCCTGTTGGAGCCTGGAGCCTTTATCCCCAGCAGCACCATTTTGTGGAGACCAGTGGGAGAGGAGAGGCAGGAAAGCTCCATTTTGATTATGAAAAATGTAATCTGGATCTGACACATATGTTTGCACTTTTCTGGGAACATGGATCATAAAATAATGTTCAGTGCACTGCTTGCTTGCTGTTCATACAGGGTCTCTGAGAAGCAGATCTCTCCAGGTCCTCAGGCGTTGCTACAGCCTGAATGGTCAGAACAGCTAACCAAAAACAACACTGAGAAGCTGGGCATATCAGATGCTGCCACTGTTCCAGTCAAACGACGTCTAGTTTGGGGTGAACCAGGCAGTGCTGAAAAACGGGAAGATCTGACACTGGAGGAAGGAGAGGAAAAAGCAAATAAACAGAAATCAGAAGAGTTTGAAAAACAAAGTGATAAGGGTAGCAATACAAATAACCAGCAAGGGTAAATATATATTTTTTAAAGATTTGTCAAGCCTGCTTTATCTCCCAAGTATGACAACTTCTGTTTCCTCAAGCACACTTGCAAAGCCATTTTAGCAGGCCAATTCAACTTCCACTGAAGTGATTGGGAAATCTAACTGGTTAGCATAAGTGGGGTTAGGATTTCCCCCCAGGTCAGTTTACAGTTAGTAAACTGCTGGTAATTTAAGAATTTATGTGTTTCTATTTAGACATAGGAGGAATTTCAGAGAACTATTCATTCCGAAACTGTGTGTCATGGTTAGTCATTCTGTATGGAGATGTTAGCTGCACCGTATGGAGAATTTGCCCATATGATCTGATGAATTCACTTTTATTGAGAATGTTTTATGTTTTATTGCATTAAAAATCAGAAGTTGTGCTATGAGCCATTCTAAAAATAATTTTCTGTGGTGCTTTCCCTTTCTCAGTAGTCTTTATAACTAGTGCAGAATAAACCGGAAAATGTCTGAAAACACGTGGTTTTATAATACGGGAATAATCAGGTATGGCCCTGTCCACCATCAACATCTCACATTACAAAGACAGACATTTGTGATTATTTTCAAGCCACCTCTTTCTAGGTGTCTGAAAAGTACAAATTACTACTGGATGATAATATAGGACTCTCTAAATTTCTTGATTAATAACTTTTTAGCCCACTTTTCTCTCAAGAAAGGGGACTCAGAGAAGCCTGATCAGGAAGAGGGAAGCTGTTTAGCTTATTTTAGGACCAAATAAAAATGGCTACAAATTGACAATAATTTAGGCTGGATGTCATCATGATGGTTCTGTCTACTAGAGGTGTAAAATTCAGACCATCTCCCTGAAAAGTTTTGTGGGGGGCAAAACCTCACAGTGTTCAAGACAGGATTGTATACATTTTCAAGAGTTTTCTTATGACTTCTATTGTTTTGTTTCTAGCCCATTCAGGTTGCTTTTGGCTGTGTGTTTTTAGCTGTCTGTCTTCATTTTATTGCAGAAGCAGCCAAGATAGGTTTCCAGTTTCAGTAACTGGTAATGATGACTGCCAATAAATTGTGGGGTAATGATTTTTCATTGTGTATATTTTTGTATGTTGTGGCCTAACAGAGGTTATGTGTTTGTATTTTTCAGAGGGAATGTCTCACTTCTCAGTCCCTCAGGTGATGGGTCGGATTGTTCTTTAGCGTCTTCAAGAAAGGGTGGTAGGGTTTCTACACCACAGCTAAGACTTCTTGGTGGAACCCAAAGAACTCATCATGATCTTACCACACCTGCTACTGGTAAATTTTTATAGTTAAAATAATAAAAAAATGAATGTATGTATTTCCTGGACATTTGGCACTAACATGAACATGTTTTTGTTTTGTTTTTTTACTTTAGGAGGTGCTGTTTTAGTATCTCCTCCAAAAGTGAAGCCTTGGACCTCGGTACAAATAAAGAAGGGGTCTTCAGAAAATCAGGTATCAAGAGAAGACACAAAAAGAAAACCTAGTAGGGTAGATCTGTGAAAATTAGCTAAAAAGTGTGACAGGTTTCTTTTTTACACACATACACAATCTTACGTTTTTGTTTATAGACACAGGATAAACACAGCTAATTTACTAGTGATTTTTATGGAGATTCAAGGAGTTGTAATTGTTGTCAAAACTTATAGGAGTAGAGCTAGGAACCATATATGATTATCTTAATATTTGTAATAGCTATGCAACTTATTTTTGTTTTTCTGTTAATTTATTAGAATTTGTGCTACTACTCAGAGAACTGGGACTAAGGGGCTGGGGTATGTGAGTGAAAATATTCGTTTTCCCACTGGCCACGTGGGTAGCTGAGCAATCGTACAACCTGATGTCACTGTTTCTTGCTGATTTGTGCAGTATTTGGGAGGATGGCATGGGGTGGGGGCATATAAGGCTCATTCTATGTTGCCTGGGATCCAAAACATTCACAGGTAAGTGATGTCAATTTTTGTGCCTGACTGCTTGAAAAATTTCTAGAGTTTGTATATGAAAGACCAGTTGCCATGAGCTGCTTTCAAACCTGGACTGATGGAGGATAATATGTTTTTAAAAGCCCCAGAAGGTACAAAAGGAAGGTATGTTGCTGGTCACTGTTTCTGTTAAAGATCTGCAGTACCCTGGTAATATGACTTTCATTAAATATAACTTTAATATGCATAGTGTAGAAGAATCAGATACAGAATAAACTATTGGGAGATAAGTCTGTGCAAATACCAAGATATTGAATTTTATTTCCTGTGAACAGCACTGCAATAGTGGTGTTTGGTTAATATCTCAAACAGCAGTTCTTTACAACATGACACCTTTTCCTTTGCGTTTTAGGATGAGGTAGAAGCTACATTGCCACCTCTTCCTTCAGCTGCTGGACTGAAAACTCAGGGTCCTTTACCACTACAGAAAGATCAGTGGCCTGGACTAGATTTTTCTGGTGTAAGAACCTCTCCAACTACAGTGCATTCAGAGCATACACCTATAGCTGCTGCATTAAAACCAGCAAAAGGCTCTGCTTCATCCTGTTGGAGTCCAACATGGCGAATTCAAGGAACTCTCAGGGATTCAGAGTTTCAGCATAATGGTTGGTTCTCTTTCCTTGCTCTTCTTTAGACAGGCATACCTTCCACTTGAAGTTATTTCAACTTCTCTTGCTTCTTGATAACAATAGCAATAGCAGTGCAGTCATTTGTGGACAGTTTTTTCTATGACCTTTGACTGGCGTAACTCTGCCTAGCGCATCATAGAATCATAGGGTTGGAAGGGACCTCCAGGGTCATCTAGTCCAACCCCCCGCACAATGCAGGAAATTCACAAATACCTCCCCTCCACACCTGCAGTGACTGCTGTTCCACGGCCAGAAGATGACAAAAAACTTTCAGGATCCCTGGCCAAACCAGCCTGGAGAAAAATTGCTTCCTGACCCCAAAGTGGCAATCAGCATTTCCCTGGGCGTGTAAGAAAGGGCCACAAGAACTAAGCACTGAGGCAACCCTTCCTGTCCTCCCTCTTATGATCTGCCTAAGTTCACAGAATCTACATTGCTGTCAGATGTCCATCTAGCCTCTGAAAACCTCCAAAGAAGGAGAACCCACTGCCTCCTGAGGAAGCCTGTTCTATTGAGGAACCGCTCTACCTTCCTAACATTTAGCCAAAAACTCTTCTGATCTAATTTCAACCTGTTGGTTCTGGTCTAACGTCTATATCCTTCTTAAATTGTGGTGCCCAAAACTGAACACAGTACTCTAAGTGAGATCTACCCAGAGCAGAGTAAAGTGGTATCATCATTTCGCGTGATCTGGACTCTAAACTTCTGTTGATACAACCCAAAATCACATTTGCCTTTTTAGCAACCGCATCACACTGCTGACTCGTGTTCAATGTATGGTCTACTAAGACCCCTAGATCCTTTTCGCACATACTACTGCCAAGACAAGTCTCCCCCATCCTATAATTATGCATTTTGCTTTTCCTACCTAAATGCAGAACTTTACATTTATCCCCATTGAAATTCATTTTATTTGTTTTAGCCCAGTTTTCCAGCCTATCAAGATCATCCTGTACCCTGCCTTTGTCTTCTACTGTATTTGCTACCTCTCCCAATTTAGTATCATCTGCAAATTTAATATGCATTCCCTCTATTCCTTCATCCAAATAATCAATAAAGATGTTGAACAAAACAGGTCCCAGGACAGATCCTCCAGGCACTGCACTTGTCACTCCTCTCTAAGAAGATGAGGAACCATTCACAAACACTCTGTGGATGCGATCTGTCAACCAGATACAGATCCACCTAACAGTCATAGGAGCCAAACAACATTTTTCCAATTTGTCAACAAGAATATTATGTGGACCTTATCAAAACCTTACTGAAATCAAGATAAACTATATCTACAGCATTCCCCTGATCCATCAAGGTAGTAACTTTTTCAAAAAAAGAGATAAGGGTCCCGGTCACATGGGCCAGAAAATGCGGGGGGGGGGGGGAGCATGGCTGTTTGCCCCGGGGCAAAAAAATGCACGGTAGCACGATCAGATCTCCCGTGGAGGTCCTGTGGTTAGGGGGAGGTGCCGATCACATGGCGCAGCAAAGAAGCGGTGGCCGCGCGCCGAGGGTTCTCCTCCAGCGCCTGTCTTCGAGGCCATGGTGAGTGCTGCCCTCCTGGCTCTTCGGCTCCCTGGGCGCTGGGGCTCCGATCCCGCAGCCTCTGCACACACACCCCTCGCGCCCGTGTGTCTAGTCACCTCTTCTCGGCTTGGCCCCCCCTTCCCCAAACAGACGTCCTACTCTGCCGCCGCAGCCCCCCCTTCTGGGCTTTGCCTCAGCCGCTTTCTCTTCTGCCTTGCCCCCTTTCCCCCTATCTGTTTCTCTCTCGCCTCCAGCCGTGCGCTTTGTGTTGCGTTTCTTCTGGCTGCTCTCCTTTTCTCTGTACGACTCAAGTCTTAGCGAGCTGCTCAATTGTATGTGGGTTTTTTTTAAACTAAGTGTGTGCATGCTCTGTTGGGTGCTTGTGCGCATCCGTGGAGACTTGGGGGGAAAAACCCCTTTTTGCTAGGGGACATGGGCGGGCGCCGGAACTACCACCGGAAATGCGATCAGACGCCCGCCCTTGCCCCGTGGTTTCCAGAAACTAGTACCTCCGAGGTAGTAGTTTTTTACCGTGCGTTTTCCGCGGGAAGCCTCGGGTGAGCCATGGGAGCTCTATGCTTCCCAGATGTGGCGGTGAGATCGCGCCCGGAAAATCCGCCTATCTTCCGTCCCTGTAGCGTGGCTAATTCTCCGGAGCCAAGGTTAGTCTGACATGACTAATTGTTAATGCACTGTTAATAGTACCGTTAATGTTCGAATAGGAGCAAGGCTACATTAGTGGATCCTCTTACTCTCCTTTTTTTGAGTGCATAATAGAAGTCAACACAACTAGGGTAGGATTTTAATTAACTTACTTCAACATGCAGAAATTTTCTATTCGGTTTGGGGTTGGAGTGGAAGGGATAGGAACCTACCCAACCATTACGATCATCTTCATGGGCCCTGCTTTGGGTGCCCCCCCCCCCCATCTAAGACTAGACTGGTAGCAACCTGAGAAAGGGCCTTCTCAGTCATGGCACCAAAATGATTGAATTCCCTCTCCAGGATGGTTCATCTATCTCTCTTGATCATTGTTTTCTACCAGCAGGTACAGACAGTTCTGCTTCATCTGGTGTACCATAACTGAGCCTCCTTCTTGTTTGTCTTTTAATTGCTGATTTAATATCTGTATCAATTGCAGTGTCTTTTTAATTGCTTGCTGCCTTCATACTCCTAACTGGGCAGAAAGGCAGCATAGAAATGTTTTAAATAAATAGTGTCAAAACTTTAGTTATGATTAATTTACTTTTTATTGGACAACTACAGCAACATTATTTTAAAACAAGTTGAGATAATACTGTACAATATGCTTATTTTACTGTGATCTCATAAGGTAGGAATCCTTCCATTGGAGGCAGGCTCTGTTGAAATCAAAACAATCTATTAGTTAATCCGTTGGCTATTAAGTATTTAAAGTGAATTACCAAATTACTTTCCTGATAAGAGATAAGACTTATGGACTGCTTTCTATCTTTCTTATTCTATTCTACCTGAGAATGGTATCCCTAATATACGTCCTTCAGAAATTGCAGATGGTAGTGCATTTAATCATGTAAACGTAATTGCTCATCTATATCTAGGAACTATGAGACTAAACAGACATTTTAGTGTTGTGTAGTGGGATACCCATATGGAGAGAAGAACACACACGTCTAGGTTGGCAGATTGTACTATTATTATCAGTCTCCATAATCAGCTGCTTAGTAGTCTTAAGGGCTAAAGGCCATCCTAATGCCAAAACTACATTCTCTGGACACCCCAAAATATTCAGTTTTTCTGCTATAGCCTGATTCTATGAACTGGAGAAGTTATCTGATTTCATATAATATAATAAGCTCTTATCCTCAGAAAATGTTATTTTGAGTTTCAAATTTAATGCCAATATCCAGGCTCTAGCTTCGACAGAATGTTGACCAACTTCCAATCTAAGGGCGGCACCAACCACAGATTTTGGTATCCCACAGATTTGGCATAAAAATTGTATTAGTGGCTGATCTATAATCTCGTTTATGTTATGGACCCAGAATGCTGCACCACATGGTATGGACTATTGAGGTGTAACACACGTATGCTGTTTCTTTTAGGAAATGTGGCAAGCCCAAAAAAGAGCTGGCTGCAATTACCTCTCCAGGAAAGAAATTATAATGATGAAGGTATCTCTCTCTCTCTCTCTCTCTCTCTGTTTAGATCTCATTTAATTATATTTGATTTTAATCTGTTTTTCAAATTCCCTTCCTGCCCATGCATTCCAGTCATATTCAAGAATAGCTCAAAGTAGTTTCTTTAGAATAAGATACTAGAAGCGAAATTCCTGATTATAACTAACTTTCTGAACTGGATGGCAATGTTAAAATGGAAAAATTGTGTCCATAAAATCTACTAAGGGTTTAAATCTAAATGTTTATGAATTCTATCAAGTTGTACATTGCATGAGAAAAGAGAATTGTATTTTTAGCTCAGAGGGAAGAGGAATGGGATGACAATTTTAAAAGAATAAAAATTATGAAAAGGAAAGTCAAAAACTGTTTTCTGCCGGTGCTCAGAAGAGTAGAAGCAACAGGCTTAAAGGGTAGCCTTGTATATGTATTTTGATTTTTAAAAAGGAATCTAGGTCTACCAAAGTTTGGCAATTAGGTTGTGGAAACTTCCTCTTCCAGTAGTGCCTTTCAAGATTCATTAGTGCTAAATTTTGGGCAGAGGTGGCTTGTGTTTGGTGATGGTTGCCACAGCAGGGGCTTTATGCCTGTGACTGCCACAGTACAAAATAGCTTATTAACGCTGTTGTAACTACAAGGGTACATGTCTTGAAGCTCTTTTTTTTTAATAATAATTTATTTATAGTAGGATACATAAAAGTTCAAAATAATGGCAATCTTAAGTTTATATCAAAGTAGGTAACATCAAAAGTCAGAAAAAGTACAATTAATTGTTTCAAAAATAGAAGAATATACTTTCCACTCTGAAATCAAAGAATTAGTACAAAGATCATAAAAATTTTATGTGGGTGAGTCTTGAAGCTCTTAACACCAACTTTGTTACCTGGCATAGTCCCTCAGCATTTATGCAGTCTAACTTCTGCTTGCTGTCTTTTTTATCCCCTGTAAATGGCTCTTGGAAGTGAGCTGCATTTTTTTTCAGCTTCTAGCCATTCTTGGTTATTGCATGATTCCCTTGGGATGGGAACACATATCAAAAGGATTCAAATTGTATGACTCTTCCTGAGTACATGTATTAGATTGAAACCGTAACTAAAGACCACACAATAAGCATATAATTTGAATGGCTGTGCTAAATGTCATCAAGAGACCAGAACAGAGAGAGGGTTAGTCTCTGCAGCTCTTGTGAGTTATAAATTACAGGGAAATTAAAATCGGGGGGAAAATAGGTGTTTTAGAGTCAGGTCACACCATTTTCACAAAAGGTGTTTGTGTGAGCTCAGTAAATCATATAAAAGAAAGTGTTTAAAATACACTTTCCATGTAACATTGTAATCTGGCAGTTTTCCATGTGGTCTCCATTTTAGATATGTGGTTTCCTGTATCAATAAGAGTAGGTAAAGTAGCCTAAGTGTGAGTGTAGCACTGTAGTGCTTATTATCACTAATAAAGGTTAAGGGGTTAGAGCCGTGGCCTGTCATTTTACCAACTGAGAAGGGGGCACTTTGGCACTCTGCCCTAATACATATGCACCCCCCCAAACTATAATTGGGAAGGGTCAGAGGAGGAGACCATTCTCCTGTAACAAATTCCTCAACCTCCTAAGGAAAGCTCACTTATTATTTTGCTGTTTTCACAGCTTGAGCAAACTGCCAGGACTGAAAAGTGTGGGAACGCTGCAAATTGCTTAGCAAAGCAGCTATATATGATTATGGAAAGCATTTAGAACAAGCAGGTTTTTAGCAACGCTCTGCAAACTCACCACACTTTTTAAGATGACAGAGCATTATGAAACTGTGGCTTTGCTACTAAAAACAAATCATGAGAGCAGAAAAAGCATCTGAAGTTGTCGTTATGTGTCTTACTCTGCAAGGCTTGGCTTGTGAGCTGTGGTACATGGTGAATGCACAGCTCACAGCTGATTCTGATAGTTTGTCGTTTTTCCTGCATGTATGCCTCAAGTTGCCATTTTAGTATTTGGGGGCCCTGTCTTTTGGGAAATACAAAGATTAAGACAGTCCCCAAACTGGTAAATCTATTAGAATAAACTGGGTGGCGTTCCTCATAAATTGGTTCCTTTTTTTCCACAAAAAGTATGGATTGCAATTGTGTCAGAGAAAGCAAGTTCTGGGAATGTGTTTGTATTTTTTTTAAAGCATATGTTAGTAGAAATGTTGAAGTTTGCTTAAACAAGACTAAGGCAACCTGGTTCATAGGTGAATATGTCGCTGTCTGTCAGCTTTTATGGATTGCTTTCTCCCCATTATAGGAAGCCCACCAGTCACATGGTTATTTTAGGAAGTGATGTGTTGAGCATCTTTGGGGACTCAAGATCTGAACCCCAAATTGCTTTGCACTGTTGCAGAAGATCATACCTTGGGGCTCATGTGATTTTATTGGAATCAGCAGCCTACCATAATACAAAATCCCGTATAATCTCACCTGCTTGAGCATATGGGGTTATGTATATCTTTTAAATGTAAAGATTTTGTTTGCAGGCCCTTGCAGTAGTTTGACTTGTGCATCCTTAATCAAAAGCATAGCATTATACTTCAGTGGGCTCTGCACCTGGGCCTCCAGTTTTAAGATTGATTCTAAAGAACCAAAACTATGATCTTTAAGCACCATATAGTTAATGAATCGCTCAAAAGATGTGCCATGTATGTTGCCTTGAACATTTCTTAAACCCAACACAAAACTATCTTCAAAATCCATTTAATCTCTTAACTAGCTTCTAACTAGGTGTAGAAAATAATATGTTGTGTATGTGTTGATGTGTTTACAGATGATGACAGATTGTCCCAACTCTCTGCTCGATCAGCTGCTTCTAGTTCCCTGGCATCTCAAGTTCTAGAAAGGGCTCAAAGGAGAAAAGAGAACTTCTGGGGCAAGATGTGATGTGTTCTGAGATATCTGGAAATTGTTTTTACTTGGAAATTTTATTACCACTGTGTGAAAAATTTCAGTTATATTAGATGTGATATGAGAACACAGAAACTGTTGAATTGAGCTCTACCTCACTATGCTGTTCTTCAGCTATAATACAAAATGTTTCTATTCCATGGAAATTTGTATGGAATTTCAAAGGGACAGTGTCTGTTTTAAATGGCAGTGAAATGATGCCAAGGTGGAGATGGTATCATCTTATGTAGTACCACAAACAGTAGCTACAGCACAGTTAGTGGAGTGGTAAATTGTAAAATAAGGCTGAGATAGGTCTAAGTAGTCTGCAGCCTCTGTTATGCCCTTAATCTGCCCAGGGGTATTGCAGCGGTTCTGTTTGCACTTACTGTGCCCAGGACCTTTCCCAGGACATTTATATGCACATTTCACATTCCTTACATTGAACCCATTAGCAGCATCCTTCTATTCCAGGGCAGCCTTGGCACTCATTCAGGCCTACCAACCAATTAGCTGTGACTTTGTGGATGACCCTAAAATGTTCTTAACCTACCCTTGGTTGCTCAGGCACTAGTAACAATGGGATTTATATTATGTCTGTGACTCCCTCCAAGGGCGATGTCAAACTATCTCTGTTTGTAGGCTAAAATTACCAAGTAAACTATATTCACAAGTGTTAATGTCACGACCTCACACAATAGCAACCTGATTGGCTGATCTGCTCAATTCCAGGACTTGTTTCTGTCCTTTTCTAATGATTTAGAGTCCTTAGTTACATGCATCATACCTACCAAGTGAAGAATGACAGCCAAATTACATCTTAGTAGACCACAGTTGAGTAGATCTACAGAATTTTGGTATAATGAGGTACTGAAGGATCTTAAGCACTTCAAATCCAAGTGTTTTTCAATACATCACAGAAAAATAGAAGCAGATGTAGGGAATCTTTGTTGTGTTTAAATCACGGATATGTTTCTCTGTCAAGATAACTGAGTTTTATACATGTAATCCCTGTTGGGTTTGTCAAAAATAGCCATATTGATGGTAAGATCATTAAATACTATCATGACGTACTATTAACTTCACCACCCAGGTATTTAAGAATGGAACAGTGCAGTGTTGTCTTGACATGATTTTTGAATTATCTTTTCCAGTTTACTGTTTGAAAATATTTTATGGTGTTTGAAGTGGTGGGATTTAGTTTTTTTTCTTTAAGCGTCCCTATAAATTCCCTCAATAAAACTATAAAAACTTCTTAGATTTGTATGATGAAAAAGATCCAGTTTTTGTACATTTTTAAAACAAAATAAAGATCAAGTTGTGTTTCGGTCTAAAAGGAACTTTAATTAATGGAAAAGATTTCTACTTTAATTCAGGAAACAGGCAACAAAATTGTTTAAAATACTTTGTAATCTTAACAATAGAAACTACTGTTGATGGGTTAACCAGTCATCACAAAGATTGAGAGTAACTTCAAGGTTATATTTCATACAAGAATGTGCGTGGATGTTTGATGTTGCTTGGCTTCCATTTTTAAAGGACAAATTCTACCATGTGTCAATGATGCATTAACCCTCTCACATGCTTCAGATAACAGAGGAATTTCTTGCAGTGCAGCTGCCTTTCGAGTTTTCCATGTAATCATTGCAGTTCTGAGGATCAGGAATTCGCACACATTTATTTGTGTTTCCCCCCGTCAGAGTTCCGTCTGTTCTTGTTCATATTTGATCAATTTTCTGTGGGTTCCCCTGTTTTTTTCTTGCGCATGCCCTGGGGCGCTGCAGGGACCCAGCAGGCTCAAAGGGGCTGTGTCATCACCCCTCATGCATCACCTGAGGCTTGCACCTGGTGTAGTCAGGCCTGTAGCCAGAAATATTTTGCTCAGGGGGTACCTCCTACCCTACCACAAATTTGTTAGTCTTTAAGGAGCTACACTGCACTTTTACTTTTTAAAAATGTATGTTTTAAAATATATATATTTATATATTAACTTTAATACAAAGCAGAAGCAGATGGGATCTGAGAAAGCCTTCCAACTAAGATCTCAAGTGAGCACATCAGAGATAGGCATTTCCGATCCAGGAAGGGGAAGAAAATTCAGATCTCAGTCTCACCAAGGAAATAAGGGGGGGGGGGACTCCAGATGCCTCCAGAAAATGGAAGCCAACCGTCCAGGTTCTCCTTGCTTCCCACAGTGCTTCCTTACTTTGGCATCTAATGAGACTGGCACTTCTCTACTGCTGTCACACAGGGTTGGTTTTTTTTTTTAATCTGCTTTTATATATTTTTTCTGCTCACCCACACCACGTCCCACAAGAAGTGGAGCTGAGCGAGAGCCAACATCGAGGAAGGAACACAGGGTAGGGCAAGCAACAGGATTCACAGAGAAGCCACTGCCAAGCCGATTGCCAGAGAGAAAACGAACAGCACTCTCTGGCTGCAGCCTGTCTGGCTGCAACGGAATATCAAGCAGCACACATGCACCTGTGCAGGCTTGCCACCCCAACATCGAGGAAGGAGCATTCGCAGTTTATGATGCAGGTGAAAAACTGCTGAGCTGAATGAACTGATCAGAGTGAGTCAGATTGAAAAACAGCACTGTGCTGCCGATCCTGTCAAGCAGCGCATGGCGCACTGCAAAACAAAACCTCTCACGCTTCCTGGGATGGCCCTGCCCCCAGGATGATGTAGGTCAGGTGGTGTGAGGCTCCTGCCATTTGAAGTCAGACTAAGGGGGGGGGAAGAAGGTCTCCTGATCCCTCCTTAGCCTGTGTTGCAAACTGTCCGGTGGTGGCCAGCCATGATGAGTCATCTCAACCATGCCTAAGTAGGCAGGGCACATTTGGGAGGGGGAATCGTCCCTGTGTGCTCCCCCTGTGGCTATGAGCCTGGTTGTAGGTTTCTTTCTCCTTATTGGTAGCCTTTATTTCCATGGGAGAGCAGGGTCTACAATTGCTCCTACCCCAATTTTTTGAATTTGTTTATGTGACTCACATTAGGTGAGCAACTTGCAGTGCTATGCTACAGCAACGAGCATGGCTGACTGCAGGTCTGTGCTGATTTTGCTCTGGAAGCTGATCATGCTTCTTTTTGAAAATAGCCTAAGATTGTGCATTAATTATTAAAGAAGTGCGCCCAGTAGGTATAGCCTTTTGGGAAGAAAACAGGCATGCAGAGGTTTCTCCAGAAAATCCCAAAATAGCTAGCCTGATCCTGCCATGGCTTCTCCTGTAGTCTGGTTTAAATTGGAGAAACCAGCTCAAGGATCTGCTGTGCCGCAGGAAATGGATCGTTCCCCACAGTGCGCAGATCCTGGCTGTGCAGGCTTCTCCTGCAGCCTAGTTTAAATTGAACTGCAGGAGAAGCCAGCTCCAGGATCTGCTGTGCCACCTATCACTGCAGGAGAAGTCAGCGCAAAGCCCAGCCAGTGCGGAGCTATCTGCTCCCTGCGGGCACAGCTGATCCTGGTTGGGCTGGCTTCTCCTGTAAAGGTAAAGGTTCCCTTGCTCGAAAGCCAGTCGAATCCGACTCTAGGGTTGCGGTGCTCATCTCCGTTTCAAAGCCGAAGAGCCAGCACTGTCTGAAGACATTTCCGTGGTCATGTGGCCGGCATGACTAAACAACAAGGCGCACGGAACGCTGTTACCTTCCCACCGAAGTGTTCCCTATTTATCTACTTGCAATTTCTTGCTTTCGAACTGCTAGGTTGGCAGGAGCTGGAACTAGAGATGGGATCTCACTCCGTCATGTGGCACCCGGGTCTCGAACTGCTGAACTACTGACCTTCCACAGCCTGCAGTTCAGCGTCTTAACCACTTGAGCCACCGCAGCTCCTGGCTTCTCCTGTAGCCCAGTTTAAACTGGGCTGTATGAGAAGCCAGCCCCAAGCCAAGCTGGTGGGAACAGTCTGCTTCCTGCGGGCACAGCTGATCCTCAGGCTGTCTTCTGCAGTCCCTTTAAACTCAGCTGTTTGTTGGGCAGGCAGTAGAAGCCCGACAAACAGCTGAGAGGTGGGAACAATCTACTCCTGCCTCACCACTCTTTTTAGATCTACCTGGTAATTCCAGAATATATCCAGGATTTTTTCAAGATTTTCCCCCCAGAAAACCCAGATACATTTGGGAAGTCAATACACCTGAAAAATACCAATAAGGTATTTTTCAGGTATATTTTTGGCTTGGGTAAATCTGAACGCACACCCTTATTGAACACACAATTTAACTATTACCTTTAACCCCAAAATTGTCTGTGTCTTAACCTTTCAGAAAGGGTTCAGGGAGGGTATACGGTTGAGGACTACCCAGGGGGAAAAACAGTGCGAACAAGACAGATTCAGCTGGGTAGCCATGTTGTTGTGAACCAGGAGGACAAAATTAGAGTCCACTTTCACCTGCAAGACCAAAACAGTTAGTTGTTGGCCGCAAAATTCCGACTGGACTCAAACTTTGCTTTGCAAACAAGGCACACTGTAGTTAAAATGCGGGAATCAGACACATAACTGTTTAAGGGGAATAAATGTCTCTTGGACAGGCAGGACTCTGACTATGTGATGCTTGCATTGCCAGTTTGCTTGAAGAGGGTGCTGGATTTTGCGTAGAGTTTTATGTGGAAGTATGCCATGGATGGGGCATTGCATCGAGATACCTAGAAGAGGGAGTTGAAGGCTGTGGATGCTCTTGCATCAGGAACATCTAAGCTTTCCCAACAGACTCCAGGACAGCAAAATTTCTCTTCAGTGCTTCATTCACCACCTGATGTTCTTGGCACTCCTCTGGCATCATCTGCACATGATGGCAGCTTGCATTATGCTCACTCCTTTTCCACAGAGCTATCTCTATCTCATGCTGCCTTTTTTGTTCTTCAGGTTTCTTGTTCGGCTGGTCAATCATGCATTCACCAAGACTGTACAGACCCGTTGTACGTCTCCTCTTCCTTCTAGCATTGGCAAGTTGAGTGCTTGGCGATAGATGGGAAACATCTGCCCCTGTATCATCTCTTACCACTGCAAAGTGGGGTGAAAGGGAGGTGGTTACCATGTTATCTTTCTGCTGCCTGGCCAATGAAACCCCCTTTATCAAACAGAGCAAAACAACAATAGCTATTATATACATCCTTCAGAATTCTGTGATTGGGTGTTCGTAACTGGTGCAGATTCCTGTCTCCCATGAGACTCTGCCCCTAGAAAAAGGATTGAATCTCTTGTGAAACTCATTGTGATCACTGTGTGGAAGAGTCACACCAGCAATGAAAACCCATACTCAATGTACTGTATATATGTTGTGCCAGTAGAAGCCCAGCATAGTTAGTGAAGTACTGGGCCAAATTCCCCCCCTGGGAACCAGCATCATGCCATCACATGAAAGAAAGAATACCCAGGGAAGCCACCACACAACAAATCCCCCCCCCTTTAGAAATGCACTCTAAAAGGGCTACAAATACCTCATTCATAAACCTGTATTGGCATTGACCTCCGCCTTGGTAGTTGTCCAAAGCAAACCCAGGCAAGAACAAAAAACAAAGAAAAACTTGTCACTACCTCTCCCAAAAACAAAAGGTACAGTAGGCCACCAACAAACAAAAAGATGTAAAACTGGGAAAAGCTCTCCCAGGGGAACAACACATGACACCACACCAAGGGCAGAGTTCACCCCATCAAACCTACAGGAGGATCAATGTGTAAAGACTCCCTATAGCTCCTTTTACAAGGAATCCCATCCACCATCCACCAGTAAATCTCCCTGGCATACCTTCCAGACTTCGTGGGAAATTATCAATTTGTGTCTCATCCAGTCCATCAACTCCATCTACAGTATTGCTATTTTGTATGGAGAGCAATTCTGGGAAAGAATAATTTTTTAAACAAATTGAAATTAAGGTAGTATACAACCAAGACAAAAAACACAGAGACAGTAGCAAAATCATGGAGAAAGTTGGGGTTCCATGTTCCTGGGGGTGGTCTAATATCTCTTGGCAGGGGTCATTTCGTAGAAAAAGAGCTAGGGGGACTCATTAGCATAACTCATTAGCATATGCCACACCCCCTGACATCACCGGAAGTGTGTCCTCCCCACAGCCGGCGGCGACCTCCACCGGGCACCAGCAGGGAGCTCCAGGCCCCGCCCTCCCGCACCTCACCCGGGGGGATGGCGTCCCCCCGCGTCCCCCCCAAATGACCCTTGTCTCTTGGGTGTATTAGGGGTCTACAGGAAGCACAAATAAGTACTCAT